GCACCTCGGCAGTGCCCAGGAGGTGAACTAGCACCTCTCCAACTTCCGTCCATGCTGGACTTGAACCGGCCACCCTCCGGTTCCCAAGCCAAGTCGCTATGGACTGAGCTACCATTGGTTACAAAGAATGGAATTCAATGCAAAGTCCTATTAAGGATAGCTGCTCAAAGTGTGTGTGCGCGCGCACACATTTGTGGGCCATCAGTCGATAATCAAATATTTCTCCCTCTCTCCGTATGAATCTGCTTCAAGCATCTCACTGGTGACTTTAGTTGCGGCAGAATCGGTCCTATTTAGGTTTTAGCCGCACTTTGTCCCAGCTCTGATGTTGATCAATTGACTTCATAAAGCACTGAGGCAGCACACTCTGTCATCAGTAATCAATGCCCAGATCCATTCTTTTCTCTTCATTTGAGGAGGCGTCTGCAGCGTTCCCAGTGCCGAGCTTCAGGCCTTTGGGGGAATCGTCCTCCAAAATGAGTGTCCTTTCCACAATGAACACATTGAACAAGATTGTAAACAATAACATCACATCTATCTCTAATTGTTGCCCCCCCACTCCCAGTCTTCTGTATTAGCATTAGAATAGAACGGCCATCGCCCTGGATTCAAGGCTTTTTCATCTGAGCAGGGAACATTCATCATGCACACTTTTTAATTTGTGTTATGTTGCTGTCACATCTCATCCTCACCCTTGGCCTGATGCTCTATGACAGATGCCTACAAACAAATTGTATATGATTACATGCCAGTGAGGCACTTTTGTTGGGTCAAGGTTAATGCTTTTGTTTATTAATAGAAAAGCAAAAGAGGATGGATATGCTTTTGCCTGCTCTTATTAAGGAGGCTTTTACCAATTCAGGGCTATGATGAGTCAATTTACTGATAGGTGTGTTTGGATTTTCAAAGAACCAGAGTTCCGTGTGTGTTAAATATAAATATCCTTTATCTTCAACTTAAAGTAAAGCTTTAATACAGATACTCTTTTCCATATTTCCTAATTGACTCTCTGACCTGTTAACAAGCAATTAAAAGCTATTTCCATTGCTCTACTGATTATTATCATTTTAGGCTTGTTTAGCTTATGAACTTATAGAATGCAGTGGAAATTGCCCATTATAATTTTCCAGAGGCAACAGCTGCTCATTGGTTGTTTTTACCCCAAATCTAAAGACATAGAATTACATGTGATTCTTCTAAAAACTTCTAAGTTGCTGAAACCAGCGACTGTCAGCCATGCTTGCTAGCCTAAAATATGAGCCTGACTGAAAAGCAAGTCAAATTATAATTTTTTTTGTATTTTTATTTCCAATAGGCTACCAGTTTTATGCACAAATACATGCCAAGCTATTGGTATTATATGATGATGATTAATCACACATTATACCTGCGGAACAAAAATGTAAGCATTGTCAATGTGAGCATTTTAGCATGCAAGCAGCTCAAATCATTGCTGTGCAGGGCTGTCAGCATGACTAAAGTAGGCTCTTAGCCAGTTTTGCAGCTTTATAAATGGCTCAAACAATGATTTGAACATCGAAGCTGAATCAAACAATAATTTCTGCACTACATGACATGTGCTGCATATGAGATTTTTAAAAAAGCTAAAGGGAAGCATCTCGGACAGATGTTGGTCTATCAACAGCTCATCCATATTTCATCTCCAAACCCTTTGGCTGCAGTCGATCTTTTGATTCAGCCAGTTCTTGAAATCCATCCAACCACTTCGTCTTTCTCTGGCCTTCATTAAAAGAAAGTGTCATTTTTTAATGTAGGATCCAGTTTTCAGTAGCCACAGTGCCACTCAGGAACTGGCTCATTGCTGTTTGGACCAGGATCTGTTCAAAGTATGAAATGCCTATGCCAAAATAAGTCCAGCGGCATTGAATAATTTAATTGATGCTTATTATAGATAGGGCTCGAGTCCTCCAGAATTTACAGGCTCGCTAAGCCTGACCCCAGGCACTAGGGAAATGCTCATCTGTGTCACTTTGTGATGGGTTGCCTGTCTGTGAAACCCGCTGTCTTGTACACTTCTATTGCTTCTTCTGCACATTGCCTCTGAGTCACAGTAGAGATTGTACATTAATGGCTGCATTGCTGAATGACTGTAATAGCTTCTAAAGCTAAATTAAGACTATAAATCAAGGCTCTAATTCACTGAGACTGACATTTCAACAAACTGTTCCAAACTTCTGCAAGTCTCCATGTAAATGATCATTACCTGCAATTCACAGTCACAAAATTTTAATTATTGGAATTTTTCTGCATAATCAAGCCCACAAATGTCAGTATTTCTACTAAAACCCAATTTGCATGGCATTACTTGCAGTAGCGGTGATGTGTGATCCTCATTCACACTCAGTGAATTGGAGCTGCAAGCTGCAACATAGGGCCTAATATTCAAACAGTACATTTATGCTGATGAAGAAAAATGGATTTTGTAAATTCTTGTACTTCATGATCTTGTGAAAAGTTCACCTGCTGTATTTTGTGGAAGTATTTAAAGATATCACACCACTGCTTTCCATGATGTCTATAAATACTTCATGATGCCATTTTTAATGACGTGATCATTAAGCACAAAAATCCTGCAAACTCCATTATGACAAATATAACACTCATGTTTCTAAACTACTTCTCTTCTCCTGTTCTTCTCCGCACAGCGATCCAAAATAGCAGTGTATGAGAAGATGTGGTCATACATGAAATCTGCTGAGCCCTCAGTGTTTGTTAAGACCACGCCTGATGGTGTAGCCCGGGTACGAAAGTCAAAGGGCAAGTTCGCCTTTCTCCTCGAGTCCACCATGAACGAGTACATCGAGCAGCGGAAGCCATGTGACACCATGAAAGTGGGCGGGAACCTCGACTCAAAAGGCTACGGTGTGGCGACGCCCAAAGGATCAGCATTAAGGTGGGTGGAATAATATAACAATATCATCAATGTTGTTATAGTATTCCACCTACCCTGATGTCCCCCTGTTGTCATTCTCTTCTCTTCCTCTTCTTTTTTTTGTCGACATAGAGGTAACAGTAGAATGCCTTTAAAATGCACTTGGATACAGAGGTTATATAATGATAAATAACGTTTTTTCAATGTTTTTATACATGTGATTAAGAGTTTCTATTTTACCGTAGAGCAATCAAATCCAAACGTTAAGGCTAAAGCTAACAGTCACTTCATATTTATGTCTCTCTTACTGTTGCTTTTCTCTCTCCTTCGATCTCTCCTTCTGTCCTGTGTGCTCTCCTACCTGACTGTTGTGTTGTCACTTTTAATTTAACAGTTCAATGGTTTTTCAATTTAGCTTTTAAAAGCTGCGCTGTCACTTGTGACGAATGTTAATTGCATGATGTTTGTTGTTGTTACTTTCTTCTCAATGACAAGTGTCCCCATCCCGCACACTTCAGTTCTAAACTACGTAACCCTTCATGCCACCTTTTCCAAGATTTAACACTGTCTTTACCTTATATGAGCCTCTCTTATCTCTCCATATTCCTGAAATTCTTAAACAATTTGTCCTTTCCCAGACCATTCTGATTAACAGATAGTACTCTGTGCATTAAGCCCTTGTTTTGACAGTGGTAGTCTCTCTACCATTAACTATCATTATTATGCTTCGTACAATTATTACTTTGCATTAGATTTCTCACGGACCTGTGCATTTTCTTACAAGTTATGTTTTATCGTTTCAAGAAATGCTGTTAACCTGGCAGTTTTAAAACTGAATGAGCAAGGCCTCTTGGACAAATTGAAAAACAAATGGTGGTACGACAAGGGAGAGTGCGGCAGCGGGGGAGGTGACTCCAAGGTCAGCCTCGATGTCACCACAATCGGGTACTATAGTGCAGAGTAATCGGCAAGGCTGTTACGACAACCCAACCATAACCAAACCAACTGTCCGTCCCAACCGACCTGCTGCTGCCCAAAGGCAGATTACCAAATTAACTGATTGTCTGACCAGATGGTTTAACAGCTCAGATCGAACTAAGGAGCCCTTGCTTAGCAAACAGAAAATATTATTTGTGGTTATTTAGAATACAATGTTCATGAATGTTGATTGCAGATAAGGCCCAATATAGGAGTTTTCTTACCATTTGACCATTGTAAAGGGAACATGGCTGCCCTACAGTTTGGAAAGGTTGAGCCTTGTTCATCCATCCTTCCAAACCTATAGGGCAGATCACCTCGTCTCAGCTGTTAGGACATTGTCAAGGTAGCTTAGTTACTTTGAGATATTACTTAGTAAAGTCACACATACAAGTAACGCAAGATAGTTTGCCAAGCAATGTATTGAGAAGGCCATAACCTCCAGCATTCTGTCACGAAGGTGAAAGTTTGCTAATCCTGTAAGAGATGGCTTTGCAGTACATCAGCTGCTTCACATCCGTGACACTGACCCAGAGCCCATGAGCGCTAAAGCCAACATGACAGATTCTCCTCGACTGCAAAAAAAACCCTCCAAATGGCTGCTCAGCCGAGGCCGACAGGGAAGCAAGGGGAACAGCGGCGTCTTGAGGGGAATAAGCATTGCAGGCAAACGTGAGAATTCTAATTAAACAATAGACCTATAATTCATTTTTAATGGTTATCTGATAAACCACCTGTGGTTTGATTCTGCTCCATGCTGCTCCTACCCCAACCCATTAATAACCTCGCTGTGACCCTTCCAACCATCAGATCTCTCCCTCTTCTTTTGTGGTTAGATTGTGAATGATTTTCCATTATGGGCACTTAATGGAGTGTGAAACCCACACTCATCCGTGACAAGTTAATGTAACAATACGTAGGTTATGTGCCATTTAGCACTGGACTATTTTTGCTAAATTACATATAAGGCTGTGGCATTATATTCTCTACAATTCAGGTCAATTGACAAATGACGCAGTCAGCCCACATGTGATGATATAGGTCAAATAATTGGCTAAATTACACACAAGCCTCAAGGTCCCTTAGACTTCAGATTGTATAATTATACCCTCAGTGTAATTTGTCATGGATTTGTCAGGGCCACAGTGAACGGTTAAGCTTACTGTTAAAATAACGTCACCACAAGAAGCTACATGTCAAACAAATGCCTGTGGTTCCTTTTTCAAAAGGGCTTTTTAATGTCATCTTTTTCAATGTTTGCATTGCTAACATTGCTATGTTCCATAGCGCTCAGGAGGCCTCCCTGTGCTACTGAGAGCATGCTCAGGAGCCCTTTGAAAGTATCTGTCTCTTGTGCTGTCATCGATCTTTGTCATGCACAGGTACGTACCCTCCTGTCTCTGTTTCCTGGCTTGTTGTAGCTCTCCAGGACTCAGTGGAAAGGCCTGATTAGGTGGAATAAAGCAGCCTGGAGCGCTTTTGTTCCAAACAGTGCATTGCTTGGCCCCATCCTGCTCACAGCTCCGTGTTCCAACAGACAACAGGGGATGCACATAGACCTGCACACGGCATCTTACACACACACTCACACACAGCTCTCTCATGCCCCCAGGCACAACAGAGTGTAGCCTAGATTGAGTTTCAGACACAGAGCATGTTACAGGGTAATTGCATTGTTAATCAATGTCTCTCTGAGCCAAGACAATGGTCTGGTCTTCACAGTCCGTTTCTCCAGATTGGCTATGAGGGATATACAGTGGTGTAATCTTCTCTCAGTGCATTATGCATTGCATGGATCCCCTTGGGGGACATCATTTCCTGGGAGAAGTCAGGTCACTCATCTTTCGATGCACTATTTTTCTTTGCATTCAATTTTCCTTTCCACTCTTACAGTGAGATTGACCGCAAATGATGATTTGTTATGACCACAAAGTGTGATCTTTATTTAGATTTGCAATTGTTTTTTTTCCTGAAGTGATTCTCATTCTATAGAATATACATGCTGTATTTGGAGGTGATGATGTAGCTTTTAAAGAAATCAAACGGCAAGAAACAGCTGCGTCAGATGTTAGATTATGCTGCTTCTGGCAAATATGAGAGGAATTATTCCACAGATACTTCTGAGCTTAGTCCTGCAGCTCTGTGCAGTTTGCTTGAGACACACTCATCTGACACTAATCTGGTGTAATTTGGAGATAAAAGTTTCTTAGCGATATGTTGGAATAGGACACATAAGAATTAAATAGGCTTTCACTTTGGGCATTTAAGATATTGGTTGTAATATCCCCCATAAATGTATTGTTGTCATTGTAGCAACAAAAGTATAAACTAGTGCAGTATTTTGCTGATTTAGTGTAAATAGAAAGATAGTGTCAGATTTGTTTTCTGTTTGTTAAGTCAAAGCTCCTGTTGGACTGAATTTGTTAAATGCTGCTCAGAAAGCCCCTGTGATCCAGAACTTGTCCCCAAACCAGTGAAACATGATGCTTTTGGTTATTCACAGATCTGCAGATTGTACTTTTCAGTACCTGCTCGTCGCCCCGCTAACAGCGTCTGCCGATTACTCAAAGCGATACGGGCAGGCCCTGGCTTTAGAATAGGGGTTATAGAGGTAATAGGTAGAATGCCTGCTCTCTGTGATGTTGACACAGCCAGGGGTCCTGCTTTATCGCTTTGTTAAGTATGTAGTAGTTTAAAGTTGAATAACATAAAATAACATAATATAATGTTATTTATGTTATTTCCCACGTGAAGAACTCCTGTAAACCTTGCAGTATTGAAACTCAGTGAACAAGGCATCTTAGACAAGCTGAAAAACAAATGGTGGTACGATAAGGGTGAATGTGGAACCAAGGACTCTGGAAGTAAGGTCAGTCGCTGCAGGTCTTTTTATACTGATTGCCAAATGCATTTTGACCCAACTGTTCATATGCAAACATCCAAAGCATAAACATTGTGTCAGACATGTAAATCACGACATGATTTAGCATCTGAACACTCGAGTGACTGAGACATTAACAACTAGATCTGCCTCACACATAGTCTAATGTGTTTTTTTACACTCTGATCATGATTCATTACATTAACATGTTATTGTCGTATGCAGACAATTCTAAGATTTGTAAAATTGCAGCATGATCACACACTATTTTCTTTTGAATTCATACCATCCAATTTGAAAAACCATAGAATTGAAACCATTATACTGCTATTTAGTTTTCCAAACCTCTATTGAAATTTAGTTTATTGGTGTTCTTATTCATTTGTATGCAAACAGTGCATGTTAACTCTGACATGACCGGCCGTATTTCCCCAAAGGCATCCTCATTCTGACACAGTCCAAACTGACCTTTAAATACCATCTGAGCACAAAGTGGTCCAATGGCATTTAATAGTCATGTCTCATAGATGGAGTGTCAGAGTAAGGAACTTTCTTTCTTACATCTCCAGTCCATTTGAATAAGTTTATCAGCCAGTTAACAGACTTTTTAGACGTTAAGAGTAGAAGTTACTGCCTGAAGGCTTGTAAAATATCCCTCAGGGCCAGGATGCAAATGGTAAAACTCACATAAATGAATTTCAATATTACTGTTTGGCTTTTAATAGCAGCAAAATGGTTCAATTCGCCCTCCACAGCTTTGCCACTTTGATTGTACAAATGCAGTGTGTTGACGTTGAAGCAGCTACAGTGTGATAGTGACTTGAGGGTTTAATCTGTAGACCTGTACGACCACGACCGCCTTCCTTTAGAGGGGGTCTCGTAAAGAGACCATGAAGCAGCGTAGATAGCAGCTCTCTCTCTCTACATTCACCTTCCCAGCTCTTTAGAGTGGAAATCACCCAAGAGGAGGAATTAGACACATTTAGGTTTTATCACACCTATTGGTTCAATTAAGCAACCACATCTCAGGAGACACAATTAGCTCCTCAGAGTTTCTGTGTAGCCGTAGTGCAGCAGAATGTACATTTAGGATTTATGTTAGCGTGGGGATAGATGTTTGTTTGAGGTCAGCCTCAAGGCAGTTTTAAAAAAAAGTCTTAATGGTGGTCTTTACCCCCCCCAGGACAAGACAAGTGCACTAAGCCTGAGCAACGTGGCAGGAGTCTTCTATATTCTGGTAGGAGGGCTTGGCCTGGCTATGACCGTGGCTTTGATAGAGTTCTGCTATAAGTCTCGGCAAGAAACCAAAAGACTGAAGCTGGCAAAGAACGCCCAGAACTTTAAGCCAGCCCCTCCGGCAAACACCCAGAATTTTGCCACGTACCGTGAAGGCTACAACGTGTACGGGACAGAGAGTGTTAAGATCTAGAAGGTGAGTCGTTTTGTTGTTGATTCTGACTTGAATTGGAACGTTTTGAAATGTGGAATTGAATGAATTTATGTTTGAATAACTGTGTAAATATTGACGACATTGTGGCAGGTCAAGGATTTTAATAGGATCTAACCCAGGGGCCAGAAAGTTAATTGACCCAGAGGGGACAATTATCTGTCCAACATCCTTGAACAATTCCGGAGCTTTCATGTCGTCCATCTTTATGTACATTCACTGGTATAAATGAGTGAATGGTCAACATGTACATCATGAATTCTTTGTTTTTCACCATGTGTGCACACATGATGTAATCTGCTGTGTGTCTTCAATGTATGTTTGATTAACTCATGATTGTTTTTCTCATAAAAAAACATATGATACAAACCTTGATGGAGGTTAGTATTGAATTCTGTCTTTACCTGGAAAATATCTGAATTGAACCTCCTCCTTCACGCCAAAATTAGCGACTTAAAAAAAGGTCGAGTGAGTCCTTTCCCTTTGCCAGTAGAAACACTTCATTTTTTTCCCACGGTGCGTCAATGTCAAAAACGCACTGAAAACTGAGGCGCTCTCTCACCTCGCTGTCTTTCAGAATTAGCACGTTCGCCCGGGTGACACGTTTTCATCATTGCCAATTGGAGCTGATAAAACCTGTATGTCTACCACAGAGTCATTTGACCCAGGAGTGAATGCCCATTGCATCCATTCCCATCGCAGACGTTAGTGGGTGACCAGTGGAAAAGCAGGTTTAGTGTCGTGGTGACAGCTGAAGATTTCTTTCCTGCATCTCATATTTGTCCTCTGCATCATGTCTTGGCTTTGCAGAGATGAAATGTGTCAATTCCCACTGGTGCATCTGGATGGACACAGCCACTGTGTGTGACCCCGACACTTCGCGGCTGGCATCCCGGGAGCAACAGCCTTCCTTCTCATCAGCTTGGACACAAGCCTACAAGTTAACAAGTGCTCATTTTGGGGTCGTGAGACCTGTCACACTAACAGAGGGCAATGACGCAACAGGACTTTTTGCTTCTGGAAACATGGAAGTTGCCTCTTGTAGTGCCTTATGGAGCATTTCGGCGTCATGGCAATGCAATTCAAATTTAAATCACTTGAAAACAAACAAGAAAAAATCTGTGGACGTTGGGCAAACCATTGCTTCAAATGACAATTAGATGAACTGTTGTAATTTTTTCTATTTTGAAGAAGCAGAAGAAGAAAAAAAAGCCATGATTTGCAATCAAAACATCCTGGAGTACTCATTGAGTCACTGGAATCCTTTACTGACATATTTTGTGGTGAAATCTTGAGTTGGATAAATGTTATATTTAGTGAAGTAAAGTCATTTTCTTGTTTTACTATAAGACTATTTTCAGTGTCATAATATTTAGGACAAGCATCCATCAATAAGGATAAGTAACAATAAACCAGACGACATTTCGCCCCAGTTTTCATGCAGAAAATATCAATAATATGAAAGTAGTGGTCATCTTAGGTGGTGTTACTGTGGAAGCCTGAACGTACAACTGACTCTGTTTTCACTTAGATGCTTGTTTTAAATCAACTTGCTGAGATTTGTTTTAACTGCCACACTTTTGCAACGGGACGGTTTTTTATTGACATGAGGTCGGCTTTTAATCACTTGTGCCATACTTTTAAATTCAGAAGAATTAGAAAATCCTTTAGACGTAGGTGGCTGACCCCCTTTTCATGTAAGAGCATATTCAAAATGGTTTCACTGGGCTTATGGTTTACACTTTGTACACACTTAGAAGCTGCTCTTGTGTAAATGCAGTGTCTGCAGCTGTGGATCTTTCTGGTCAACGATAACACACCATGGCTTCTTTGGTTGTGATGAGCTGTCCGCGTCCGTGCATAATGCAGAGGCTGAGCTGGTGTACTGTACATTGAGGAGAGAGCTATGAATGAAACATTTGTCTATTTGTATAAGTGAACTTTTTATAAAACTGAAGGGGGAAAAAAATGACAGAAAAAGGCTACAAACCATGTTCGCCTACATTTGTTTAGTATCTCAGACTTTCTCATCCTTTTTCCTCCCAGATAAAGTGCATGTGAATTTGGTGATAAGTTTTTTGCCAAAGTGCAAACTCCAGAACAGACCCTGGTTTATCGTCCGCTGACGACATTAGATCCCCTTTGGTTTTTAGTTTCTCCAGTTCATTTGTAACAGTACCTCAGCCATGAGAGTTGCATGTATGGACACAATGAACCTCTGTGGAGAGGACATGTACAAAGGATTTTATTACATTTCCTTAATAAAAGCAGGTTTATATTCATCTTGTGTGCTCAAGTCTTTTTTCCCTTCAATGGAGAAACACAAACTAAGTGTGAATCTTATAGTCATTTGAGAAAACGTTTGACAGAAAGAACTTTATCTGGTATAACTGCAGGGGAGACAGTTATTTGAGTTTCAACTGGAAAAAACGACAGATCCATTTAAACTCAAATAAAACTATCATAAGAAACTTGACCGTATATACTTGATAAATAAAATGCTAGGCTATAAACAAAATATACATATACATATTAAGTTTAAGTACAGGTCATTGACTAAAATTGTTTATTCAACAAGCCCAGAAACATTCCCGTGACTTAATAGATCACTTCCTTTTTAGTTGATTTAAGAGCTCATTAAATACAGTGTTACTGCTGCATCATTTAGCATGTGACAAGGAGCTGGACCTAATAACAGAGTAAACAGAGATGACTTTAGATGTACACTTGATGTAGAAAATACAGATGTTCTGGTTGAGTGACACTGGACTCATCTAAATGTATTTCTATCATTCAACCGTATCTGAGGTACAACCAGTAAAAATCTGTCTCTACAGCCGCTGAGTGACTTACTCTGTTTTATAAGTTTCCTGTTTGTGAAGAAGGAAATGAAGGTAAGAGACGATATGAAAGTGACACACTAGGAAAACTATTATTTATTGGTTTTTGTTTTTTAAAAAAACGCTTACACTCATTGAGTACAGCAGATAAAATCTCCAAAAGTCATTTTAAACAGTTGAGTTTGGAGTACAGAGTGTCGTTTTTTGTCAGATTTTTTTTTTTACAATTCTACATTTGAAGGTTGAACAGGCATTTTTATAAATTATGTAAAAACCTGATTAACACAAAATCACAAAAGGACTGAAAGGGACATCAAAAAAAAAAGGAAAAAAAGAAATAACATGATGTGAATTTCATGTTACCCTCTTTATTATTGTACATAATATACAAACTGGTCCTTTGTAGAATTTATCACTTGTGCCTACTGTCTTACTCGGATTAAAAGGTGGAGATAAATAAATATAAGTATCTAATTATCTCAAAAAGGATATGAGGTAAGTGAGTATGGAAAGCATGTTAACTCCAATAAAACGAGCAAAAAGCAAAGCCTGACAACGTACAAAAAATACAAATGTTCAAGCATAAGATTTTTGAATCATGACCAGATCCTTCCAGACAATTCGTACAGTAACCACTTGTTCCAATTAGAATAACAATGACATAGTGAAGAGCAGCACATTGTGCCCATACTGAATACGAAAAAAAGAAAAATACATATTGCAGCAGATTCACGGTATAAGTGGAAAAATAACAAGTGGAGTTGAAATAACTACAGCTAGCGACACCCGGGAGGGGAGTTTACAGAAAAAACAACACAGGCAGAGAATGAGAGTACGAGTTAACAACATGGTACAGGTGGCGGAGCAGATAAAAGCACAGCTTCTCCAGTTCTGCTGCGGATCAGAGAGAGAAAGTGCATCAAACACTGAGAATACATCGTCCTTTCAAGAGCTGTTTGCCAAGAATCTGAATGCATCTTACCTTCACTGATTAGTGCACATTATCTGTGCTTGTCAGAGGATTTATGAGTGTGATTGTTAAGGTAAAATGTGAAATAATCCAAGACTGAAATGCTGACAACTGCTGAATTATTGAAAAAATATATTTTGGCATAAAACAGTCGAGTCTTTCAGCTTCCAGGATACTTCTCTTTTCAGACTGCGTATCAGAAGGGTGTGAACCAATAAACTTGTGATGTCTATCAGGAACTTTTCCATTACAGGAAACGACAAAATTAGAAACAGAGGGGCTTTCTAAAATGGTGGTTGTTGAAGACAGAAATGAGCAGCTGAATGCTCAAATTCGACAATCAAATTCATTTGAATCTCTATAAACAGATTCTGACTGGGAATATGCAGAATCTGTAGGCGGGGGACAAGATTTTGGAGTCTTCTGGTTTCTGTTTCATGTCTGACCAATCACATTTGAGCAGGATTTGTTTGCCAGCAATTAAACTGTCCGTGTGGAGAGCAACCGAGGCGGAACACATGGACTGAAGAACATCAGCTATCTGCTTTTTCATTTATCAACATTCACATAGCTGTTAATAGAGAGTAGCAAAAATGCCGACCGGACCTAAAACACCTACAAAACACATTCTAAACAGTGTTCGACAAACCGAAGATGGAGTCTTGGCTCAGGGAACAGCTGAAAACACCTGAAGCCCCAAAATATTTGCCGTCGTCCCCTGACGCTAATTTGACATCACACGATAGCCGATGGGCTCCGAGACTGTTTTAGATGGGAGGTCTTATTTGCAACATGTAAAATGGTGTCTTAAGCACGCTTAGTTATTTCATCTGAGTGTGTTCAGTGACATAAAACAGATGAACATGGAAGTAATAGTCTCATAATGCAAACTATTAAGTACTGTGAGCAGCTGAACGTTACTGAACACTTTCAAACAATGATACATAAGAACGTTTTCAAAACAAGCTCACTCAGCCTGCGATGACCAAACATGCGAAAAATATTCAGCAACTTTTAATATTAAAATATTCACACTTGAAACTACAAATAAACCAGAATTTTGATTGAGGTGTTCCTCTATGTTTAAGGATATTGCTTTTTCTCTTCCTTTCCTCCACTGCTGTCCCTCTTTTCTTTCTTCTCAGATTTCTCTTTGTCGTGTCTGGACTCCTGGAGCACATGAACAGAAACAGTGTGAATTGAAACATGTTGGTAATAAGATTGGATTATTTAACAATATTAATGTCTCAGTCTATTGGTGAATCAATGAATATATTCTGATTAAGTAGAAATGTCAGAGCTCTTTGGAAGAGGGGTGAGAGTATTAAAAGTTCATGAAGTAAAGGTTAACGTTTGCTACATTTCATCAAACAGACCAGGGGAGTGTGTGGCAGTGGTACAGAGTGACGAGCTGAGCTGACCTTTTTGCCTCCGGAGGACGTTCGCTCAGGTTTTCCAGATTCCGCCTTCTCTTTGCTGGAAGATTTGGATCTTTTGCTCTTCTCTTTTTCAGCTGAAAGCGGCGAGTCACACGAGGGACTTGTGCTCTTTCTGTTTTTGGAGGAATCTGGGAGGAAAAGATTTTGTCATTGCACTTTGTGCTTACAATACTGGGTTAACGGCTACGTCAGATTTGCTTGAGATCAAACTTACTGGTTCCATTCTCGTCCTTTCTACGTTTGGTTTCTTGGTTTGTTTCGTGGTCATTGACAGTATGGTCCTAGAAGAAACATGACATACCACATGTTAACAACACATCCGGACCATTCTCTTCAGCATTATACCACAAACCGGCTGACTTTAGGACAAAGTGTACATAGAAGACTGCTGGCAGTAGGTTTCTATAAATTCAAAAGGACCTTTTCAAAAAACCCATTTGACAAAGTGCAGTGGTCTTGTAAAATACTGACTCGTTTCCTGTCTTTCCGATCCTTTTCTTCCTTTTTCTCTTTGGATCGGCCTTGTGCGTTCTCTGAGTCTTTCTTCTCCGTCTCCCTCTCTCTGCTCTTGGACCGGGCTACTGAATTGTAGTTGATGTGATGCTGCAAAGACATTTATATATGAACAGAACAAACAGACAATATTTTAATGTTGTCAGGAAGTGTTTATACATGGAATGTTACTATTCTTAATATTATGTTACTGTGTTACAATAACACAAATACAAGTTACAAAAACAAGGATGGACAACAAACTGAAATATTTCTTGGTTATTTCCTTACAATCCCCACGACAATCCCACAATGCCTCATAATTGTATCCATAAATCTATATTCATTAGTGGGACTAAAAAGGAAGTTGTACAAATGCCATTGTTAAAGTATCGCTGTTGATGAACCATGGAGTCTTGTAACAAGTAGTAATCGAGCTGACATTAGTCAGTTTATTGATTAAAACAGTGTGGACTCTACATATATTTTTGTCATAGGAAGCACTGCTCTAAAACCAGAATAAATAAACTGTACAATTCGAAAAAGCTTCTTAAGCATGAGCGCTCACTGCTGTCCCATGTCTCCAAATAAATTAAATATATTGTTTTGATTAAATTCCATCAATCTTAGCTCCCAGTGGAAGCAGGACAAGAAAATTGGTAATATCACTAAGTGTTAAGCAGAAACTACAAATTATGGCTCAAGTTGAAAATAAGAGGAAATAAGACGTGTCAAGGTAATACTTTAGTTAGTTAATTAGTTAAGAGTGTTCTAGACCATTTATTAAATGTTTGTATACTGCTTTTAAATATTAAACAGGGGGACTAAACATGAGGTGCCATCATGCAGGGTTTACAAACATCTTTCTGCAAATGTTGATGTGCCAATAAGTGATGTGTCAAACAGATGGTTTTCATAACAGAAAGAATTCAGTGCAAGACATTGTACATTTTAGTTACCCTCTTAAGTCTCACCAAAACAGTACAAAAAAATGAAACTGATCACCAGTAAAATGCGATGATAGAAAGACAGATACAAGGTTACAAATGATGCATCTACTTGATATTAGCTTGAAGAGAAAATTAAAAAGAAATTAAAGAAACTAATGAAATTAGATCAGTTAATTGGGTTTTATTTTACTTTTCTTTGGTGTCTTAAACCCAAATTATCATCATAGTGACTCAATGTAGAGACAAACAAAAGCTGGAGAGACCTATGACTTTAGTGTTTATTTTAAACCTTTTGTGTGTTCCTCAGATTCAATTTGGGTCCAAAGTGGCTGTAATGATTTTTGTTGTCGACAATGAAATTTAATTCCTGAAGTGAGCAATTGTTAATATGATTCTCTTGTGCAGTAAGAGAACAGAGCGGGTAAGTGTTTTCGAGTGACTGTTATTACTATAAAGTATTGAACAGCTTAAATTGAAAACCTCAATGCAGCAAAATTATTTATTCTAACAAAAGATTGAATTACTGCATATTGTGAAAACAGGGTCATTCATAGTGACGTCCAGAGAATCATCACACGGCTGCAGTGCTCCTCAGGGTTATGGAGCCTTTTATTCTATTTTAACGTGCTGTTTTTCTTTTTTACATCCCACAACGCCACTCGTATCAACCTGGTTTCCAGCCACAGAAAGACTGTTACTGTACACTACCTGAACAACATCAAACAGCAGACAAAGGTATGGACTAGCTGGTGAACACAGTGGAGCATCTTACAGATAATGAACTGGGGGGGGAATCAAAACAGACACTCAAAATTAGCCTTACGTTTGTCAGAAACATGATTCCATGTGAATCGCTGTGTGTCTGCTGGATGCACAGGCAACTGTTTACCTTAACTACTTAATATGTCAGATATAAAGTTTTCAGCTTATTCTGCTGCCTCCAAATGGACTTGAATCATGACATGAGTCAATACAGTGTGAGAATACACATGAGTTCAGACTCTTTCACCTGAACAAAGGAAAACAGACAAAGTGAGAAAAGGTGCGAGTAGCAGAGTTTGTCCAAACCTTGGATGTGGACTCCTTGGGTTCGTTGCTATTGTCCTGTAGGGATGAATGGAGATGACAGATGAGCTGGGAGGGGGTGGGGTTGGGAGGAGGTTGTCAGACAGCAGTAGAGAGTTGGAAGAAGGGGTGGGGGAATTGGGGAGTCGGGGCAGGCCGGACCAACAGCATACTTCGCCCTTGACCTCTGACCTTCAAGGACTAAGGCTTTGACAAGGTTATTACATACGAGAGGTCATAGGCTCAACATCTGGAATGTCAATACTTGAAATAGAAAGACCCTGAGCATATATGAAATAACGGCTATGTCATATTACTACAGACATGTCTGCAATTTCAGGCAGCATAATATAAAGGTTCTACAGTGCAGCTGGTATTCAATACATCTAAAGTGCAAGTTCTGTTTATAATGGATGTTTGTCTGCCTGTGTGTGTAAGACAAATCACTCAGTTCTTATGTGCTTGACTGCATCCCTACATAGGTAACTGTTGCTGTCACTTACAGTTGAGGAATGGATAAGACACATGGAGCCTATTTCTCTGGCGAAGGGTAAAATTAAGACCTATCACAAGCTTCCAGTGGTGTGGGCAATGCTCCAGACGATTCAGGCTTCGCCCATTCTTTCCCTCTCTTTGTAGTGGCAGGCTTATTTTCCTCTGCATTTTTGGCTCATTCAAAACTGTGACATTCATTTTCTCCGTTGATCTCGGGTTGCTGGTGGCTCTGATTTTCCACTGAATGCTTGCCAGGAGGTAGTACGACTGATGCCGATGGTCGGTAGCTGTGGTGATAGCATTGTAGAGGCCGGCAGGACAGACTGGACACGCATCATCTGACGTAGGACTGCATGCAGGTTGTTTTAACGAACGTAGATAGAAGAGGGACCGATGACTCAGCCGGAGCAGACAGGCACTTCTGCTGGATGCCATTCGACTCTCCGCTGGATCCAGGCACGTCGGGGACCAAACGAAATAACATCACTTTAACCAGGGTTTCTTCTCAGCTCGCAAAAATGGGGAAAAATCTTGGGGCGCCATTTGAAGTGGTAGAACGCTTCTCTTGATGTTTAGAAAAAAAACGTCGCCATTGGAACAGGCGTAAAGCTCTTGATTGGGTAAGCCATTTAACTTCAGGTGAATATTATTCTCAAAAAAGCAAAAAATCCACAAGGTATATAGAAGTGCTTAAAAAATTTCTTCCCAAGGCACACTGACTGCTTTCATAAATACGAAAATAGATAAATATTTCAATATGAAAATACTCAATATTTACAATATTCTTTTGGCTAAGTCTTTGAGGGGTTTTCTCCCAATTCTGCAAAATATTATGCTGATGTCCATGGAATGATTTCCAAATCCATTGGATTTGGCCAGGATTTCCAGGGGCCACGCCTGCATGTACGACAACTCTCCTTGGTGATCTTCAGGGCTGCTGGAATTTGCAACGGCAGGGAACGCTCCGGCAGATAGAGAAGAAACGGGCACAGCCTTCCTCAAGCCATACTAACCTTAACAGACGAGGAGTGGGATGGAGAAGAGTGAGTGTCGAGCTTTCGTCTTTTGTGATCTGTGAAAACAAGAAGAGCGAATTTGTGAGCAGCACACTCAGCCACTTTGCATCCATCTTTTCTACAATGACAGAAGAAGTTGTGGGAAAAATAATTCTGTCAGAAAAACAACTTCCTGTAACCATTTTCTTGAAATGGTGTATTAAATTAAATGTGTTGAAATAACCACATCCAGCACCTAACTAGATCAATGTGATCCAATACTGTAAAATCTGATACATATGTGGTGAATAAGTGTATACTGTATTTTATGAGCTGTGCAGAGAACAAAGCTGAATAACAGACAACCAGAGATGATGCTTACCCCTCTCAGACTCGGCCGATTCTGATCTGAGTCCTGGTGACTTGAGGGACCCCGCCACAGCACTTCTGTCTCCCTTCTCCTTGCTCTTGGACTCCTTGATGGCGTCGCGCTCCCTGGACGACTCGATGGGCTCCCCGTTGCCGGCTTTGGCCTTGTCGTCTTTGCTGCTCTTCTCCTCGACCTTCACTTTCTCCCTGTCAGCCTTGGGGGTCTTCTCCTTACCCTCACGTGCCACCCGATCCTCTTTTCCCGCTCTCTCGTCTCTCTGCTTCTCCCGACGGTTCTCCGCTTTTGTCTCAGGAGTGCTGCCCGGTGTCTTCTCCTTTTTCTCTTTTTTCTCTTTCCCGCTCTTCTCTTTGTCATCCCGCTCTTTTACGGCTTTGGTGCTGCAAAAGGATTGAAATTTTCCATTTTAAAAATTATTTCATACAAGATTCTACTGATCGTAAAAAAGAATAATAGCTTTGACTTTGTAAATAAGTATCATAGCAGCTCTTGATAGACCTACCTGATGATGGCACCATTTCCGTTGCTGGTGGTCACTTTGGCCGCTGCACTGTTGGCTTTGTTCACTGGCTTTGTTGTCCCCTGAGATTTATCCTTTCCCCGATCTGCATTAAAACAAACCAAGAACTGTATGAGCCCAGGATTTATGAATAGTACTGATGTGCTTGTTTGAGTTTGTAGCAATGTTCCAATAAAAGCAAATGCTAACAACAACATACACTTTACATGCTGATGCAAACTAAAAGGATCCCAATGTTTAACTTTTATGACTATCAACCAATTATCTAGAATTTAGTTGCAGACATATTTGAAACAGAATAACTTAGTAGTGCAATCTTAAAACCAGATTTAACTAGAAGCACTGCATTTGAATCAGTCATGTTTCATCACTCACCACCATCCTCCGATGCTCCCTCGTCTGTCTTGTTTGTGCTGCCGGTGGGCTTGCCTGTGCTGCCGGGGCCGTTCTGTTGACTGGCAGGGGTGACACTGCGTGCTGGCTGCTCCTTGTGATGAAACTCATTCTCAGGGACCATGTGTACCTTCTGGCATTTCAACCGACCTGAATAACTGTAAGACGCATAAAGGGTTTGCACAAGGCAGAAACAAAAACCTACAAAGTAATTGATTGTCACATGGTATTAAAAGACTTTCAGAGGGAGAAGAAAACAAAGGTACTTGAGAGCTAAACACAAACCCCAGTATAGGCAGCTATAAAGAACACGTGAATACTGATCAACATATATGAGTGTCCATGCCTAAGGACAGATGTAATTCATCCCTGAGGGTTTTCATAAATCTAAGTTATGTTGATTTAGAGGACATAAAATAGGAGAAATCTCTTGTTTATCTTCCCCTATATGCAGACCAGAGCTAAAAACATTTTGTACTGATGATCTAAATCAGGGGTGGGGAAGGTTTTTTCATATCATCCTTCAAGGGCCATATTAAATTACTGTTTATCATTAATTGATTCAGATTCAAGTTGATTCAATATTGATTCATTTAAGGATATTGAATTGTACAATACCAATTCTGCTTTGAGAGGTGTAACTGTGCAAGGAAACTTGGTGCATTATCGAAAATATTTGGATGATATATTGTCCCAGAAATTAGCACACTTTTTAATCTCCCATGCTTCCCTGTTATTATGACATTTCACAAAAATAAGTGACTGTATGCTCCATGGAGAGCTGAGCATCACACAACGCTGTGTTACCCCATTGCTAAGGCATAGAGGTCTGGCCTCTTGTCCTTCTCCTCAAGGCAGATCTTCTGTACACGACACTCGAGCGCTTGGCCCAGGTTCAGGACTTTGGGATAGCAGGGCAGGATCTTGGTGAGCACGATGAGAATGTTACGGATGTGGGTGTAATCTCCCGTCTCCAGGCAGTGAACCGAAGCCTTAAGTAACAGAGTGAATATAGATAAGTGCACAACTTCCACTTGGCTCTACTAAAGAGAAAAACAATATAAGAGGAAAGGCAGCTCACTTTAGTCAGCATGTAGTGCCATTTGTGCACCACATGCCTGAAGTTCTCGTAATCTAGTTGATCTGCTTTGTTCCCTCCATCAAAGCCTGTGGCTCTGAAGATGGTCAGGAAGCCAGGGAAATTCACGCAATCCTATGACCACGCAATAAGAGAAGACATAAATAACCACTTTACATCTTACATCTGCAAACACAACATATATAGAGCATGTGTAGAGCAGGTAGAAATGGATACCTTCTCATAGATTGCACGATCGCTGTGCCAACGGGTCACCGTCTCCAGCATGCAGCAGAGGAAGCGGCCGTAGCGGTGAGACTCATTCTCCGTACAGCTGGCCACAGTGTAAATAATGGCAGAGAACACCTGCAGAGTGACACAATGTAGTGGTTTGAAAAAGCTACAAAGTCTGTGTGATTTTTGTCAAAATCTGCTGCACTTAATTGTGGTCTCTCACATTGAGATTTACAACAGTGGCCTTAAAAACCAGCAGTTGTGAAATGTTACTTTCAAGCTTTAAATTGTTGGTGCACTTGAGTGGTTGTTGAACCTCTTGAATTTCTTCTTTAGTATTTTTTGAATGTCGCTACTATTTCTGCTGATTTGGTCAAAATGTAAGCCTACATTATCCCCCCCATTAATCACATTATAAATGTTTATTCCTCTTCTCATAAAACACTTCATATCTTTAAGAAGACTGCAGTTAAGATATTAAAAGCCATCATCATAAGTGCGTAAAGGTCAGAGTTTGTACAGTATGTAGTTTCTGAGTGTCTTACCCTGTCATAGCAGAGAAGGGTGCAGAAGTTTGGCGTTTTCTGCTGGTGGACGAGCTCCACAAAGCGGGCGCAGTACACAGCGTCAATGGAAGAGAAGATGCAGCGTGGGAACAAACAGAGCTGCAGGAACTTCGTAATGGTCTCATTCTTTGTGGATTCTGTCAGGAAGCATTTTAAGTTGTAATAGTAAGAGAGACTATGGAACATTAGATTAATCTCCAATATTAATGCTGTGATCGTGGTAAAGTCTCGAACAGCTTTTTCTGGATGTCCCCTTAACTACACTACTGCCATGAGCATTAAACATCTACTTGTGAAATATTGATCTAGTTCTAGTAGGTTTCTTGGGGAGAAACTAAACTCTAGCTGTAAGGATCAATCACACTTAAAATGGATGGAGGGAAGAATGAACACACGCAGTGTAAGATGCATCAATAGTGTCACAGGCATTAACATTAGAAAACTCACTGGCAAACAACCAGTTGTCTTTCTCCAGTTTGAGACGGTGTAGAACCCTTTGGACGTGTTCCAGCTGCTTCTTCTCCTCCTCCTGTAGTTTTTCCTGCAGGGCAGTGCAGCGTTCCTTCTCCTTCTTTCTCTTATTCAAGGGCTATGTTAGAAGGAAACCACAGCAATATTTACACCACATATATACAGACACCTATGCAGCACTTACATCACGTAGGCTGCTACTGCTACAACACCAATCCTTGAATTACATGTTGACATCTGTGGACCAGCTACTCACAATCTCTGTATTATCTTCAATGGCTTTAATCTGGACCTTGAGTTTGTTGACCTCACGTTCATATGCGGCGTGAGGCACAGCCAGATCATACATGGTGAGGGACCAGAAGGTGGCATAAAACTGAGGGCGGAGGTCATCCCACACCCTGGAAGGATGAAGCGACACCACAGCCTCGTGCACCGGTGTCATCACCTGTTCACAGGCTGCCACGTATTTGTGTACCTTCTGCTGCTGCCGGTTGCCTTTCTCCACTTTCTTCAGCTCATCATATTTTGACTGTGAGTAGAAAGGATTTAGTTAAATAAATGTTTTCTTAGTGAGAAATAAATGTAGATTTGGGAAAAGGGCTTTTCCACAAAATACAATTTATCGATGGTATCTTTCAAAAACAAATTTCCAACAACATAGGTCAGTCTAAAATAGATCAAACCTCCAGAAAATAATCTTAAAAAAAATCTACACCTGATCATTGTGTTAATGATTAAAACTAGAATCTCCCCCAATAACAGGAATATGACGTGATACTTTGACAATCTGAAAGAGCAGTCGACTCACCAAAATCTGATGGGCGTACATTGGCCGAGACAAGAAGAAGGCAGCGTCATGTGGAGTGTGGAACTGGTTACAAAGGATGTCAATTGAGGGAACCCGCTTGATGTAATCCTCTGTGCTGAGGTTGGAGGCCAGAAAGCCACCAAACTGCAGCAATGTGTCATGACACTGCAGGAAGACAAAGAATTTCCTGAGCAACAAAAATAAACTAAAATAATTATGTTTTAGATTTATTTAGAAAGTAAGAAGTGAACTGGTAAGTATATTGTTGACTTAACTGCTAAAAACGAGAAACTGGTTAGATTCATACATTAAGAGAAGGTGTATACCTGGTCATAGAGATGGCCAACAAGTTTAAGGTGTTTTTCTCCACCTTCTAAGAAAACCACACCATTTCGTTGCTGGGCCATTAGCAGACATAGTGGTAGGGCCAGTTCATGGTCCAGTAGCGCATCCTTCAGACGCTGTGATGACTTCTTTGTGTTCCTGATCTGTCCAAAGTAGCCGCCCTGTTGGCAAAAATTACATCCACAATGACGTGGAGGTGAGTTTGATTACCAGTACAGGTAATCATACAGATTGGGCTCGCAGGTCTACATTAGGGAATAATAACTGTACTTGAATCTTTATACCTCTGCTTTGAGTTGTTCCCCTCCGGTCATGGCCTCTAACTGCTCGGAGGTCATCTCATCTGTGATCTCAATACCAGCCATTTTCTGGACCACCTCTTTCAGGATGAGCAGGTCAAAACTGCAGGAGGGACATATATATTTTTTTTAATTAGTGAATGACATTGATTTTTATAGCATTACTGCTTTTCAAAATACATTGTATAATGTATGGAGTACAATTTAACAATTCGAGACTAGGTTAACCAGAGTGGTGTAGTGCATGAATTCAGCACATCCTGCAAACCAGTGATCCCTTGTTGTTTCTCTAGCATAATTAGGGGTCATGTACCTCTTTCCTGCTTTCAGCTGATTGGTGACATACTGAAGGAGGCCAGCCAACTCAATTGGGTATTTTCTGAACACAGCTCCACACAGACTTGCCAGACCTTGGATAAAAAGAACAGATGAATATTATGATACTCATTAAAACAAATCCACAAACATCCCTCTTTTTCTGATGTGACTTGTGTACAGTAAAAGGCCAGTGAGGTGTGAAGACGTACTCTGAAGCCACGAGGAGATGGTAGTGTCGTCATGCTTCATCTTCTCCTTCTCAGGATTGGCAAGAGCCTCGATTATGCAATCTGAAGACAGAGTTAAGTAGAACGACCCACTTACACCTGAAACCCATTGCCTCCATCACACACATGGATACAGAACAAAGACTGGGTAGTGTAGGATACAGGCCAAGACATCATAGTTGAGGGATGTGAGGTATTTCAGTGAGTCCACCACTGGAACAATGAGGTTGTCGTACCACTGGATCTGTGACAGCATCTGCAACACAACAGATAAGGGGATATATCATCATCAACTATAGAGGATTTACAGTAGATTATACCTGAACGTGATGCCACCCCCATATTTCCACTAGGTGACCTAACACATCTGCTGAGGACATCTTTTAGTATATGTTTAACTTTATGCAAAGTAGTGAATGTTATATAAGGAACTCATGTTTTAAAATATTGGTGAAGTAGGAGGCAGAGATGTGTAAAAATGCAGAGGAAGCTACAGGACTATCTTCCCACTACTGCATGTTCAACAAATCTGTATTTAATGATCATCTTCTATATTATATAAGGTTAAAAGAATCACTGAAACAGAAACATGTGATAAATGTGATAAACACATTTCATTTATACCAATTTATTGATTTTGTAAGTGCATTAGGAACACAGTCTCATCTTTACCCAGCATTTACCAAATGGTTCTTACTTAGATTCATAAAGGTGCAAGCAAATGCGAGGGAAAAATAAAATTGGTATATGGCGCGAGCCATAAATAGCATTGGTGCTGAATGCTATTTATTTTCTACTGTAGAAATCTGGAATCAATTTGTCTTTGTAATTTGTTGGCAAAATTCAAAATGAAACTTAAGTCAAATAAATTAAACCACAACAAAATAGACTTACATAATCAAAGAGGATAGTGGGATTGCTATGGCTCAGCTTGCCAATCTGCCTTCCAGACTGTTTCACATTCTCTTTGGTCAACCGCCTGTGGAGGGGTAAAAAAAGCACAAGACAGGAAACAGCTGATTAATAAGACAAGATGATGCAAACAGTGCAGTAAGGAAAGACTGTCACCTCTGCAAGCCTCACAGCGCACGTCTCTGCAAGTTTTTACAGTGGAAAGTAGTACATTCCATTCAGGGACGATTATTACATTTCCAAATACAAGATGTGCAACATAATATAATATTTTTTATTATCCACAAAAAGGTTCTTTGTTTTAGCTCTTTAAGTCATAAAAAAAGATTTAAAAAATGTATTGTAATATATTAACAGTCAAACATTTTTACTCATTTTATGGAATTTATTGAGAAGGGTGAAATAGCTGCTTCTCTGAAAAGCAGCAAGACGAGAAAGACCAGTGATTGCACAGTAACAATGGACTGGTTTGGTAAAGTGACTTACTTCATAATGTATTTGGCCCTTTCCACAGTCTGTGCTTTGACTTTAACCAGGAGGGGATGACTGGAATACGTCTCATTCTTCCATTGTCCATATAACCGATACCTGAGGAAATATAAATAGAGAAACCACAATTAAACACAAGTTTATTGAGAATGTGATACTGGCTGTGTGATAACAGAAGGGTGAATGTCTACTAGATCTGTCACTTTTTATGTGAAATTCTATATATTCATAATATTCATATGAATGTGAACCATTATTTGGGTACTGTGGTGAGTGCCTCATGAGTTTAGTTGAGAAGGGTCAATCAAAAAACTAAACAAAAAAAAACCAGATTCAATAAGCTCTAACATAACAAGTAAGTAGCAAATTTGTGTAGAATGTTTTCAAATACCACTTGTCATTTTAGATTTTTAGATTTAAAAACCTAGTGTACATTTTGTACTCAAGTAACCTTAATTATTTTGCTGTTAAATGACTCGTATCTGTTTATTAAGGAAATTCAGACCAGATGAGTTTCTTGGGAAAAGTGTCACGCTATGAGAAAACAATGTGCTAATATTTTCAGTAATTAAGGAAACTGCATTATTAGCTGCAACAAACTGACACACATAACTAAGGGATTATTATTTAACAATTCAATTACAGAGTGCTGCATGAAGTGAGGGTGAGAGTATCTCACCTGTGCCGGTAGGGAAACAGTTTGAAGAGGCCCCACAGTTCCTCAGACATGCAAGCATTACACTCCATAAGGGAGAGCGAAGGGAGTAGCACCTGGTCTGCAATGCTCAGGAAACAACTCAGTAGAGTGTCCTGCAAAATACAAAATATAACATGAATAAATTAAAAAATAAACTGGACAATTCATGAAAGCAAAAGGACAGAATGTATACTCTTTGAAATATTAACCAACAGCAGCATTATCAAATTCTATTTTTATATTTACCATTTTATCTTTGACCTCAGATTTGCTGTCACTTTGGTACTGTGAAGCAAAGGGAAGAAGAAATGATTTAGATTTAGGCTGTTCTGCAGATGGGACAGGGTTTCCCCTACGTTTATTTTTCAGCAGTGGGCTGCCACTGTAAAATGGGGAAAACAATCCTAGGGAAAACATTGTGGGGTCATGAACTGGTTACGGTTTTGTACCTCTTTCATGAAGCCCTTGCCCAGACGCACTATCTTGGCGAAGAGGATGGGGTCGTGGGAGAGGTGAGGGCCCAGGTAGCAGAGCATGCTGAATGTGTCCCTGCGTAGGTCCTCAAAATTCTCTGCAGGCCGAGGTGCCCGCTTGTTCCTCAGTGGACGAATTACACATCCCTTTGCACCTTTTGGGACACCAGCCCTGTAAACGACAGACCAATGCGTCAGAGCCGGAACCTTTGTTTTGTACCAGACTTATTTAAAAACAAATTTACATGCTAGTATCAACAGGTCAAATTGTGGAATTGAAGGCATGCATGCTTTTTCTGGTCAGACTACACATGGTGGGCAGTAATTGAAACAATCAAGCGGGAAAACAATCAGCACCTTCTGTAAAGAGGTTCCACAGTCAGGTGCACAAGCTGGCAGAGAGCCAGTGCAATGGCCTTGTGAGAAGTAGCATAGAAGGAAGGCATCTGGTCCATAATACTCTGGGCATGCTGCCAGTCTCCAATTCTAAGCAGCGCTTCCAATAGACCAAGCTTCTGGTTATCAGGTGGCTGTGGGCACAGAAAAGAGTAGAAACTGGGTTAAATTATTTAATAAATCATAGTTTAGTGACATTTGATAAAAGGCAGATAGAGCACGGCCGTCAACAAATACTGAGCACAGCTGCAGTCACACTCCAACGTGATACATTTTTAAAGCTGTTCCTATTTATATCTCCTTGTCATGTGTGGAAGGCTGAAAACATACTGTAGTTAACTGAGGTAAACAATAAACCAGCATCTCAGACAATTTGGAGAAAAATGTGAACCTAACTCAACATTTCATACCTTCTCATTCTTCTCCTCATCTTTCTCTTTCTCCTTTTCTTTGTCGTCATTCTTCTCTGAGGGCAACACAACCATGACCAGCTTGCGAGCAATCTGCTTGGCCTCCGAGATATCTCGTTTGTGTTCCTCTATGATGGTGGCATCTAGTGGCATAAGCTGGAAAGACAGAGAGGCAACAAAAGCCAAGATTTCAGACTGGGAACAAATGGTACCCCAAGAAATTTCACATAGATGATAAAAATACTTTGACCCAACAGTCTGGTAGTATAATTCAGTAAACATATTTATTATGGAATGATTAGAATCTCTAAATTTAGGTTTGCAGAATTAATATTCCCTTATTCTTACTGACATCTTGACATTTCATGTCTTAACTACTTTCCCTTACATGTACATATAGATCTTCCAGCTCTATCAGGTTGTGGTGAAGCAGAGCAGCAGCAATGTGATAAAGTGACGTGGGGGTTTCCTCATTGGGCTCCTGACGAAAGAAACGAAATATTTAATAAATACAGTTACAGTCGGAAGAAAATCTAATACAAGTGACAAAGTAGGCTAGAGCATAAATATATATTTAGTTTCTGGGTTAGTTTATACTGCAAGACCCATTCTAGGTTTAATTACCCAGACTCAATGTTCTTACCTGGTAGAATTTAAACTTAAATCCCAGGATGTGGCAAAGGGTGAGTGGCTCACACATGTAGGACTTAATGAGAGCCAAGAAGAACTCATCTTGGTCAGATCGACTTTCGTAAACCTCAAGGATTATGTCCAAAACACGATTAGGATCTAAGTTGAAACATCCTGAAGGAAGAAGAAAAAGAAGAGCTTAGCAGGCAACAGAACACAAGTGGAAAAAAGCAGGTATATGAGGACAGACTTTCTATAAAATACAGGGGCCAGGCATTGTATAATTAACAGCAGCACCACAGGGTCAGTGCTGAATCTGCAGGTGGGCAATAAAAGGTGACCAAGTCAAATTCAATGTATCACATCACAAGACTGAAGCCAAACACATAAGGAAATGTTCAAAGCAGTGACCCTGACAAAGATTAGTTTGGTACCTATGAGGGACTTGATGCTCTCCAGGACAAGATGGCTGGTGATGTTCCCTGAAAGGTCTTGGCCAAGCTCAGTGATGAGTTTGGCATAGCCCTCATTCTCCTCCCTTAGCAAGTTAAACTTCTGTTGCTTGTAACTGAGAAGAAAGCAAAAGTTTTAACAAATATTGAATATGTACTATGAAGCATGAGTTTGCCCTGCACTTGTATTTTTGTCTACATCTCTATTTAACTGTGCACTCTACTTACAATAGTTTAGTTTTGATTTTTACAATCTTCTGATTGAACTGAAGGGCTTGTTTTATAAGTCCAAGAGATTCAAGGGTTTCTGGATCCAGTCTCTCTTTCAGGATAGCCTCTGGAACAAAAAACTTCACAAAAAAAAGAACAAGTAAATTATTTTGTTTGTTTGTTACAGACAAGGTATAATGATCAATAATATATCTATGACATCAACAGACAGGGGTACTTGAAATTATTTTATATGTATCACTAGGACAATGGAAATCAGTATATTACTAAGCTGCAAATGTGGCAATTAAAAGGATAACTGTTAACCTGGACTCTATTTAACAGGAAAAACAGAAATATGAGTAAACATAACATCCTTTCTAGAGGTAACATTAACCAGCTTACATTATCTGGGTAATGTTACTATCATTTAGACCATAAAAGATGAAAAGTAAGTCCAAGATTTAAAAATACAAAAATCATAATTTAAGTCTCTCATATTTTGGCAATTTCTTAGGCTTTTTATTCACTTTTAGCCTGAAGATCATAGAAAAAAGCCATAATTTTAGGTTACAAAGATAAAGTTCTTACCAAACATGCTCCCACCAACTGTGTGTAATGATCACGTTTGATTTTTTCTTCCAGTGCACCTGTTTCTAAATCTGTATAAAATACAATAAAAAGTTAGTCTTTAAGTGTGGGAAATCAATCTAAAACTACTACATAACACACATATTAGAATTACTTTTAATAAGTTATATTTTTAAAAACCAAGATTTACCTAGTATACTGAACACATCTGCTAAAATTGATGGCATGTCATCGCGGAGCTCCTGAAAGAAAAATAGAGGACCATAAAATAAGAGAAATTCTCAAACTTTTAAGTGCCAGGAAAATGGTAGTGCATTTTCTGTGCAGACTCCTTAATAACAGAATGAACACAAACTAATACAAAACAATGGCTGTTTGTATTTGGCTAAAGCAAAATAAATGATGTGTGTATTTGTAATATACAGGAACAGATACTTGTTTAAGTTTAGCTATCAAGTAAAAATTTAAAAAAGCACTTGTACCATCATGTCCCCAAGGACACTGGCGACAAGATCCAACTTAAGGTTCCCCTGTACAACTTGCCAGCAGAGTTCGTATAAGGCGGCCTGTATATCTGCAGGGGTAAACAGACAAGACAAATGGGACAGTTAATCTAAAACTGAACTAACAAGAAAAGCCTGACAGATTAGTAGCTGTGAACATTTTACAATTCTTTTAAGGATGCAACAGTTGAAGCATTAAAATGAAATGGATTCCATCAGTCACAAACAGAAAAAGATCTGACACTGTGATATTAAAGTTGATGGCAGTTATCGCGCAGAAACATATCAAAATAAAGCTGTAACCGGTGGGTAACAGAAATATCTTGCTCCAGTGAATGTTAGCTAACAGCGTATAGTGTTAGCTGGACGTTATTAACGTCTCATCAACCACGATACTACAAAATTGTGGGTGAATTAGAAATGATTCTGTAAAATGGATACTGTGCTGGAAAATATTTACGCAAAGCTCATGAGAACTGCATTTGTCTAAGCTTACATACATTAACGGACAAACACAAAGATGAATGTATAATAGAAATGAGATGATTGAACTTACCTCTAACCTCACTTCCATGATCTGTTTTCTCTGTAAGCTCTTTGCAGAGTTGTACACTATAAAATAAAGAGGGACATTTCTGATCAGTGAGCATGCACCAACATAAAAATCAATGTCTCTATAACTGCCTCTGTTTGACATATCTGACATACATAATACACCTTTTGTCATTTATTCCCACCCAAAAAAACACTGTAAACACTGGCTTTAAAAGTTGCAATAAACTGAAGATTCTCGTAACATCTTGATCGAATACATTTCAGACTATGCCAACACCATTATCTACAATATCCCAAATAAAATAAGACAATCGGAAACATGGGATGTGTCCACACTGACAGATAATGGTTGTCCTCACTGACAGCTCAACTGGTTTTTGGAAAGGTAGCATTGAGAAAGAGAAAGGCAGAATGATAAGAAACTGTGTGACCTCATCATCTCTTAAAACTTTGAATCCAGCACACCTCACCACATTAAATATGAAGCTAATTATATATCCTCAATCAGCCATGATAAGGGCAATTTAGCATTAACCATGCAAGGCCCACTTTGAGAGCTACTACACATCTGGTGGAGAGTCAGAGATGCTCAAAAGTGCCAAACTGAATGCTTGTCAGGACCCCGAGGACAAAATAAATATGGTTGACATTCACATGATGTTTCACTACTTTAAAAAAAAAGATACAGCACTAAATCAACTTCACATCTCTGACTGATTAATCCCACTGCTTCACAAGCAGGAAGTATGGACGGCAGGCATGGACAGATCCATACATGCATGAAAATGGAGTATTTGGCCTGAATTATAGTGGCTACCTTACATTAATGTGACACCTTTGATTTTCAGCACAAGGAAATTACACTTGTAGTTGTAGCTTATCATAGAGATGCCATTGCATCCCTGAGGTTATAGAAAGTCTGCAGGGCTGGCTCTTTCATCATGTATTAAGCCGTTTGTGTAAAGATCACCATTCATTTAACACTTCATGTAGCTTCTGGGTTGACTGGACATTACAGCTTCATTTCAGTTCTGCACAGAGACTGAGATAAATATACGAGGTGCTTTACACTCTGCACAGGGGAGATCTGTACCAGAGTCAGAAACATGATGGACACTGAAAATAAATGCTGCATTTAAACACATATCAGCTTATTCATTGGGAGCCACATTTACAAGTTGCAACTATCTGAAGCATTTTTCCTGTAAAGGTGTCATCAGCTACAGTGATGATGATGATGATGTACAAGCATGATGAACAGGACTATGGTTTAAGTAGTTTGACTTAGTGCATCTCACTGAAAGCCTTTCTTACACATGCAAGGCCAACGACCACAAACAAGCAGCTCGCACTGTGGATGAGTCTATTGTGTCTCCGCATGTACGTGATGATGGCGCTCAAGAAAATGAATCACAATCGTATTACAGCGACGATTTGCCTTTAAACAGTGCTAGAGCTAGCGGCACCAGCCTGTCCTCAACACTCACTCCAGATGTTCAGCTTCTGTGCATCTGTCAAGATTAGAAGATCTGACACTGTGATATTAAAGTTGATGGCGGTTATCGCGCAGAGACATGTCGAAATAAAGCTGTAACCAGTGGGTAACAGAAATATCTCGCTCCAGTTAACGTTAGCTAACAGCGTATAGCGTTAGCCGGACGTTATAAACCTCTCATCAACCGCAATACTTTAATTATTTAGAGAGAACATGTATCCAACTAAATCATTGTATTTATCAATTACAGTTTCATGCATCCACGCCAATGTAATATAACATTTACCAAGGCACCAAGTATAAACCACGAAGCTAGCATTACAGCTAACTTTCTATAACGTTATGTCAAGATTAATCGTTTCCCTCCACTTGATCATCGCGACCGTTAACTTAACAAAACGCTGGACAAATGGATTCTTCGTTATCAGCTCGTTGGTTATCTGTTGGTAGACAGCTTTGGAATCATGCTTGAACTTTAGCACATTTTTTTACAAGTTACCAGCTAACAAGTAGAGCACAAGGGTAGCTACACGGATGCTAACTAGCTTAGCTATGCTAGCCATCGTGTTTACAATTTAACGAAGGGGGCCAGTGAGAGCGCAAGCTAGCCAGATTGCTAGCGTGTAGCTAACGTTAGCCGGTAAAAAATTAACGAGCGCATCCATTTTATCGAGCGGCGTAAATCTAATGTGTTCACTACTAAATGCCAACTGTGTGGTTTTCTTGGGGGGTTTTAAGCAGCAGCGTCGGTTAGCTCAGTGAGGGTTAGCATAGCCTCTTTAGCTGTTTTAGTTATCTTGCTAACGTTACCGCTTATGTTAGCCCGATCAGACACTTGACAGACTGGCCTCCAGCTTCTTTGCCTGATACGCAATTTTTATAAACCATAAAGCAGCAACCGTTTCGTCCCTGTAGTCCCCTGACACGGTGTTGAAACACAAATGTACTCACAACTCGTGTTTCCCAGATTTTTCCCAGTTTTTGAACCATTCACCAGGGAGGATAAGTGTCGCCATCTTCCATACACACAGCCCGGATGTCTAGCTCATCAAGGCGCACACAGGGTCAAATGTGGTAGCTAGCCGCTGCTAACTGCTAGCCGAGCGCTGCATGGTGGGAAAGAGCAGGTCTGAAGGCTTTGTTAGCAGAGAACTCAGTGTTCTGAGAGGAGCTGCTGCTGATCCACTACTGTGAAGGGTGTCTCACTACTGTGCTAGTTTAAATGCATTCAAGCAGCATTCAACAACACAAGGCTTTATTTTCTACTTGAGGAGAGCTTCCTGAATTCAACAGTTTAATAGCACAGCCTTGGCTTCCAAAATCCTCCCCTGCTTATTGAATGTGTAGAATATATATGTGGAAAATATTGCATCTATGAATCATAGGTGACGGTTTTAGATATTCAAAGAGTAACTTGAATACGTTCTTCCTGTATATCCTTCAACACTTCAATTTGAAGTATGGATCGACAGCCTCGTTCTTTACATCCTCACACTGACGCAGAAAGCTTCTTCATCTCCAGACATTCATACAAATCTTAAAGGATGCAATGGGCACTTTGTCAATAGAATAAAAACACAAATTTAATATAGACAAATATTTAAATATGTGTAAACATACAGATGTATGCACATTTTCAGCAGTTCAATGCAAAACAGAAAAACAAAACGATTGATGTTCATTTACAGGCAATTCTAAGATGTATTTCTCATCTGCCTAACATGAATATATGGTAATGTTTAAGACCATGTGATGGGTTTCTCTAGGTTATAGTGAGATCGTGAGGAAATGATAGAGATTTCTTTGTAACTACAACATGGATACACTCTTCTTTCCATAAAATATCAATCTGCCAACCAGGCCAACACACAGAGGGAAAGAAATATCACAACAATCCACTTAAAGACAAACAAACCAACGCACTGTATGCATACTTGCAAATTAGTAGGTTAACTCTGAATAGTTACATTCTATCTCTTTATGCTTTCCCTAAAATTCCAAGCAAGCAGAAACTGCAATTATAAAATGAGCACCGATTCACAATATATTACACATTTGTAATTGTATAATAAACAATTCTGATACTATAATATTTTACTAAAGAACTATAAATTTATAATAATCCTATAACTCTTACACACGCAACAGTGGTACACCAATAAATTGGCTTTTTGATAGAATCCTCTGCACACTTGCAAACTGGAAAATAAAAATAAAACAGGAAAAAATCAATTCACACCCTCAACCATTTTCAAACCCTTTCTTTTAAAGATCCCAATTATGGCATGTCTGTGTTATTAGATCTTAGATAATATACAGTGGAGAAACATATTCAAGATATACAAGAGATTATATGTTTACGGTCAAACTTTTATGTATGACACTGTGAATACTCCCAATATTAAAAAATTATTTTAGATGCAGCCATCAGTTGTCAAATTACTACATTTGAGCAACTGCAGTTACTCTGTCACCCATTCGTTAAAGAGAGATGAAAATAAAATACAAACAGCAGGCCATATCTAAAGTAACCTAATCATTTCCATAAAAAGGATTATTTCAGCATCTATGTGAAATAACATGATTAGAAACCATTAATTTACATTTGATTGTCATTACAAAATATCTATAAATCAAAGTCATCTACAAGGTAAAAAAGCAGAACACATACATTTCTAAAAAATACCATCACAAAGAAATCTGAGAATGCCATATATCATTTGTGGCAAGGCCTTTGAACAGTATGAGACGCCAGTTCACATTATACTTTACTGTGTACATGTTTCAATATATGGCTACATGCCATGCGAAAATATACAGTTTAAAAATACACTGGATGAACACAATATCATAAACAGCTTCACAATGTAATGCAGTCCAATTCAATAGCCCTGAAATTAATGCTGATTTTTATTGAAGCTTATGTTCAATTTCTGTTCAGAGAGGCGTTGATTGAAGCCCATGATTATCTTTAAAAATATGGCTATAAAATCACCAAAGAACTGAATTAACACCCCCGTGACAAAGTTCAGTGTCGTTATAGTGTGCAACAACAAACGAGCGCTACAAACATCATTAAGGTAGTTTAATTTTGCAGGGATATTTTAGTTTTATCTACAGGTGTCCATGAAATTGTGTTCACCTCACCTGTATATTGGCCACTATGTATTTACATCAGACAATTTTTGTCTACTCAATTAAAAAGATTAAAGGTACATATTATTAATTTGAATTTCAGTCTGTTTATCGTCCCCTCACCATTCACCTGCAATATGTCTGTACTGGCACTTTTATCAACCCAAATAGCGTCACCTTAGTTAAAGCTAACATCAAAAACACAAACACTCCTCCTGCAGCGTGACAGAAGTATGGTGTGTGAAAATATCAGAATAAAATTCAAATTCAAGCTCTCCCTCAGAGTTTTAACAAAGTGTTGTTGAGGCAAACATTGGTGTCTCGCAAACCATTTAGAAAAGTCCATTTGGCTCCATCCTGATTTTCACGCATCTTCTGAGGATTTTGATGACTCACTGTCCATCCTTTTTTTTAGTACATGGAGACATTGAGAACCTAACAACAAACAAAGAATTTTAGAAAATATGATATTACAAATCCATAATAAATCATAAAAAACAATATCGTGGCACTTGGATGGGGGCTATTCAATATCAATAGCAGTTTTCATTTAGTCAATAAACAAATAGAAAAGCAGCGTTTGTAACTTCTGAATTAGTTAAAAAAACAGCCACACAAGTTCATTACACGATTGAGAAATCTAAGATCTCCCTTTTTAAAGTATATTAAAAGTATTTAGGCCAACAGTGATTTTACAGAAATGTTCATGTTTTCTTGTTATTACGGTGACAAAATAGATTTTTGGCAGAGTATTCATTTAACTTGTGATATCCAAATGTGATCCAAAAAAGGTTGAATCAAGGGCAACTGGACTTGGTTGTAGATACTTGTAGATACGTCCTGTGGTGTGAAGGCGAAACATCTACAACCAAGTCTAGTTGCCCTTTTCCAGACACTTTTTTGATAACTGTGATCTGAATGAAGGAGAATCTTCACACAGAAATCCAACTGTAGTGTTCATAACTGTCCTTTATTAATCAGTGACTATCATGAGAAGTAACGGGCCGATATTATGAGAGGTAGAAAATCCTTACCGAATCATCCATAATGGAAGATGGATCAAAGTAATCTGGCTTCAGTTCAGTTCTTTCTCTGCGATTCTTTGATGCCGGCTGAAAAACAAGAGCTCAGTCAGAACAATGCATCACAAAATATGATGGAAATAAGAGGTAAAACAAAAGCATTTGGAATTAATAGTTTTAAAGAAAAATGTTCCTCAATTTTCCTCAATCACGTTTACTGATGTGCAGATTTGATATATGACACTTTCGGGATGTAAAAATACACTTGAGTTTCTTTGTATGCAGTGATTACACACATTCATATACACTACATGCACATCATCAAATCAGTTAGTTGGTTAGTTGGTTCTGTTTTTTTCTTTGGAAACTTGCTCAGCCAGTAATGCATGACTCCACCATAAACAGACATTTAGTTTTTGCTGAGTTAAAATGTGTTTGCAGCGTTTGTAAGATTTATATAAATAGAAGACACTGCATTTATTTAACAAAAACACACAGCTACGGTTAACATGTTTTTAAATTACCAAATCGATATCCATTGTGTCAAAATCCATGCCCTCATTGATGTCCTCCAAGCGGTCCTCAGACGACATCATCACATCCTCTACTATTGGCTCCTCGTCATCCTCCATGAGTCCGGAACCTCGACGACTGAGGAGTGCACATACATTAGATACACGTTAAGCGACAGTGCTTTGTTATATCAATTTCTTATTTCAAAATGTGAACTTGAGTCGAAATTGTACTTGAAAAACAAGTGCCACCTTACATTGCTTGCTGCATGTGGTTCCTCATCTTGGTATAGTGCATGTTAACCCGCTCTTGCTGCTGACGCGCCTCAGCTTGTTGCCTCTGTGTCAACATCCAAGTAACCTGGGTACTGTGGGACAGTGGGCAACATAAAAAATAACACAAGATATTATATATTTGTATGTATATATATATATATATATATATTATAAGATAGCATTAACATTTGCAAATATCTATTTCAAGGTAAGGTAAAGGAAAATGTAAAGTACAGTCGCTTAATGTATTAGACATTTTTTTAATTTGGTAAAAATGACTAAAAATATGTTTTCCTCTTGTCATTCTGATGGGCAAACATTGTTATTTATCCATTTTAAATTCAATCTACAACACAGAACAGGTTGTACAAAGTGTGGATAGTTTCTAAAGACACTGTAGATAGAGTTTTTCTTACTTGTAGTCAATGGCAGCCTGGTGGTGATGGTGCGGCTGCTGCTGGGTAGGCACATGCTGATGGGGGAGCTGCTCTGCTGGCATGGTGTATGCGGCCGTGTAGCTGTCCTCTGGCCTCATCTTCTTTGGATCCCTCAGTACAGTAGAGGTGAGGTGAGGTGAATGCATCATCACTGGCGTCTGCACGTTTTGCTCACGGTTCACCCAGACTGCATCACTGCTGCTGCAGCTGTTCTCTTCTGCTGGAGAAAAGAACTTATCACTTCCTGTAATTTACTGAATGCATGCAGTGGCTATAATAATGAGTGCACTTGCCACTGGCAAGGTAGAGTATTATTAATGGGAGAGTTTGCAGACAAACTTCCAAGGAGAATAAACATTCCACTGACTGAGACACATTGCTGAATTGCTCACCTTCAGGCAGTTTCCTTTTGCTAGTCGTGGCTGGTTTAGACTTCTTACTCCTGATGGTGGACCCCCGACTGCTGATCCCACTGATGACAGACATGGTGTCATCGTCACCTCCAGCCTGCAGGGAGTTCCTGTAGGAGATGAGGGGCAGCCAGCAGTCCTCTCTCTGCAGAGCCATCTGAAAGGTCATGAACCGCTCCAGGTACACGTGACTGCAGAAGTCAAATTGAAAACAGATTTAGCATTTTAAGGGATAGCTCACCGAAAATTCAAATTCACTCATTATCCACTCACTGATATGCTGATGGAGGGGTGGGTGAAGTGTTCTGGAGTCTCAGGGGTACACAGTGTTGCAGCCAAATCCAATAAAATTGATTTTTTCTGTTGTTTTATTACATCTGAAGAAGAGGACACTTTAG